CCAAAAATAATATTATATGCATAATATGTATATTATATTCCAACCATTAAAAGTCGTCACAGGCGTAATTATATAATAAAACATATTATAATGTGTGAATAGAACAATTCAATTGCAGAAGTACCTCCCTGCTAAAATTAATTTATGTAACAATAATACTATGTTAATATAAGAATATTATAATAAGTAAAATACTATATTATACATTATAATACTTATTCTATTTCAGAACTGATGTGGAAATCATCATTTGATTGCCATTTCTTAATGTCGTTATATTTTATTCTTCGATTGGCGTCGCCAACAATTGAACAATATATATGGGTCACAATGACGTATGATGCAGCATAATATCGGAGGGCGAAGGAACGCAAGCACACACCACAGAGGAGCTGAGCCAGTCAATCATTCTCTAACGCCCTCGCGTAACACACTAACACTTGCCGGTTAGGGTGCGAGTAACAGCTACGCACGCCACAAAATAATATTATTATCATGTTAATATTATAATACCTATACCGGCTATACCTAAGTTTTTCACGGAGAGATTAAATGTGTTTTTGACTCGTCGACCTGGAGTGTTCTTGACGACTTGCTGATACAGACATTTCGACGGTTCTTCGCATCTAGACAATTACATGTAAGTACCTAAGTTAATCTAACCTGTAGGCAGTAGCGTACAATATAATAATACGGAAACTATTTTGAGCCAATCAATTTTTTTTTTTATGGTGGTGGGGTTATAAATATACATAAATCAGTGGTGAATTTTGAATTTTAAGAGCACATGCAATTAACAACAGTTTACACCCATCATCCACCCACACTTTTTTTTATATGTAAAAATAATTATATCGTTGCGTCCGACAATAATCACGCTCACGAAACATTTATTTGAAAATACATTTTTATTTGTATATATTTCAGAATGGCTTTAGTGTCTTCGTGAGTATTTAAATAAATTAGTAAATTACTATACAAGCCACAGAAATTAATTCTTATAGTTTATATTATAATCATTTCCCTGCGACACCAGTTATTTTCATCCTTCGCGTTCGAGAACACATGCAGTTGCAGTACTTGCATTACATTACATTATGCTATAAATATTATTATTGAACCAAAAATTTCACTATGGGCTATCACACGTGTCCTTATATATACGTCACTGCCTGTAGGGTTCCGATCGATTGATTCATAATAAAAATCAAATTTTAATTTAACAGTGATGCATGCGGCATGCATTGCAATTGTATTTAATTTTCAAATTGTACCTATATTAATTCATGATAGGTACATAATATTATCATGTAAGAAATATTTTTTAGAAAAAGTAATTGATCGCACCCAAACTTTATGGTAGGTACCTACGTAATAATAATATTGTTCGTGAATAATATTTCTTGTCTTCAACATACGTAGTTAGAGTAGTTAGATGGTAATATGGTATTACTTCGCATTTGCGTATAGCTGTTATTATTACCTGAATTGGTATACATTTGGCGGGGAGACATCTGAAACATGTAGTGGACAATGTTAGGTACCTACGCTATAATATGATTGTATATAACAAATGAATATCAGAACATATGTTCCAAGTTTCTTATATGCGTATACCTACTCAAGTAAAATATAATTACTTTAAATATTTAAAGAAAAAACCTATATAATTTGAAATTACATATTATAGCAAACTAGCAAAGAAACAATAATATAGTGTTAGTATTTAAATATTTTTGTTATAGGTAATATTAAAAAATCCTACCATCAGAACCACCAATCGATTTCCAACACATTAGTGCGTCAAAAATCGTACATAACAATTTTTATAATTTCATATTAAAATCTATTCAGTTATTAAAATCATTACTATTCATTTTTATACCTGCTGATGTTTTATATTTAATAAGGTTGAATCTCAATATTTTAATAAATAAAAATATTTTCGTATCGTTCATAATGAATGATGTGTATACCTACGTAAATATTAATTAATTGTTATAAAAGTTAATTATTTCTCGCGAGTCATGGAAAAATTGGTGCTTGAAACAGTTTATCGTTCACAATCATAATATTATAATCATAGAACACAAGTACCTATTGGAGCTTAGATGAGTAATACAATTTATTAGCTGTTTTAATTGTTTACATTTTTTAAATATAAGTATATAATCAAATACTTTTGCAGTAGTTTTATTTGTATAACTTATTTTTCTTTTAATTATGCAAAAAATAAATACCTACTCGATTAAAATTGAATTTTATTATTTAAAGTCGACAACCGGAGGTCCACCAATATTTATTTCATTTAAAAATCAAATAACGATTATTATTGGCTTATTGCTCATTAGATTGTTAGAACGTGGGTAGGTACATAATGAGCTGTTGAGAACCTATATAATTACTTGATAGTATAAATTATAGACATTTAAATAATGACAATAAAATGCATCTTGACCGATAAAATATAACGTGTTTGGCGTACTGCGGTTGTTTCAATTTACATATTTTAGAAGGTGTCATTGACGCGTATCTATATACATGAAATATCCGTTTCGAAAGTAACCATGTTACGACTCCGAGATTAAGTACTAAGTATTTAACAATAAAATATAAAAAAAATTCAATAGACAATTTGTATTTTATAAAGTTATACCCGAATTTTTACGGTAATTTATTTTTCACTGGTATACGAGATAAAATATTTCTAGATTTATTTCTATTGGTAGATAATATTATTATCGAACTCACTAAATTGATTTCAAACCATCATCACATATTATTTTAGTAGATTTTTTATTAGTTAAGTGCATAATAATGGAAGCGGTTCAAAATAATTTGAAGGGCTCTAAGTGTCCCCCTTATTTTGAATACCCAGTGCATCTAGAGATACGATAGATAAAGCACGTTTACTAAATATATCTCCATGTAAATCATGTACAACACATGTTTTATGAATTAATACGTGACTGATTTAACTCATGATTACATTTTAGACCATTTGACGTATCAAATTATCCTTTATTTTAGATTATGAATGAGCGGAAATACAAGTTTTTTTTACGAAAAATATGCTTATACTGCAGAGGTATACCTACTTTATATGAAATTGTTCATGCAAATACCAACTGTGTGAATCAAAATGTTTGAATTACAATATTATCGGTATCTTAGGCTATAGAAAAATGGCCACATTTATTGCTATAATTTGACATGATAATATTATTTTCACGATTGTTCGTTATTGTTCAATATTAATTGTACCCAAATACGTATCTAAGTTTATTGTTTATATGTTAATGTTTTCATTGAAAAATAGAGTTATTTATGTTGCCATTTGGATTATATTATATCTTAAATATTTTTTATTTTTTATTCTGGGACATAACATGAGATTTGTAGTTATTTTTTTAATCGATTAATACATTTTTCTTGGAAATTAAAAATATTGAAATAAAAATTCCTTTCGGTTCCGGATTGTAATACATTTCTATATAATAACTACACTAAACATAGGTAGGTTTGGTAGATACCAACAACCAATACTCAACACGTCTGACACTGAGGTACACGTAAAACTAACTCCAATAATATGTGTTTTGTTTTATTTTGTTTTGAAATGTACATATTATTATGGTTATTTTATTTGGTGGCTCGATCATCAATATTATATTAAAATGATACCGTTGTAGCTTGAACAATTATAGGTATAGTTACAAATGTACAATCGACGCAAAAATCAATAAATATTATAGTACTTACAGGAATATTATACCTTCAAACTAAAATCAATAAAATGAATGAATTATAAAACTGTCATATAAATAACTAGCACAGGAATATTAACTACCTACCAATTAACCAAGTCGACTAGTTAA